TGAGGCAGGGCCGGATTAAGGGGGTGGCCACATGGGCCGCGGCCCATGGCGGCAAATTTAGGGGGCGGCAAATTTTGCAATTTTTCTAAAAGTAGCTATAAAAAAAAATCGGATTCAGAAAAAAAAAAATTACGAACGAGAAAAGGTGACAAAATCTCTCATTTCCTGAGAGTATATCTCTAATTTGGCGTCCTTCTGTGATGCAATAGACAGCACCTTTAATAGTCTAGTTAAGACTAAGAGAGAAACTGAACACAGAATTTAGCCTGGAACGGTGTGGCGCAGAGAGCAATGATGACGAGAACGTGAGATGAAAAGGAGAAACCCTCGGCGTGGCGGTCGGCATGTAACACATATTAGCGCCCACAAGACTGCATGAATACTTCACGCATTGCGCCAAAAACAGTGCGATCGCTGCGGTCAGCAGCGGGCAGCGTGAAACGCATAGCGCCTACAAGACTGCATGAATACTTCACGCATTGCGTCAAACACAGTGCGTGCAGCAGCGGTCGGCCCGAAACGCATAGCACATGTAAGACTGTAGGAATACTTCACGCATTGCACCAAACACAGTGCGGTCTGCGCGGCGCGGCGCGGCGGCGGAAGTTAAAATTATTAAACCACATTTATGTTTGTTCTTTCATAATTTTTTGGTTCATTTCTTAAAAACGGAGGGCCTTGTCCATACAGAGATAGGTTTACGGAACTTAACTTTCGCGCCAAGTTCCGTGAACTTTTGCTAGTAGTGTTGACAGGGCTTTCGCAAAAAATGTGACCAACACGAGTAAACGCGTCTCATACGCCTCTCCCCCTCCGGCACGTTCACGTGATGGTTTTTATTGATGTTTCAAAACGAATGAGAAGGGGGCGGCAAGTAAGTAAATCCGGCCCTGTTGTGAGGGCGATGTTTACTTTCTTCTCCGAGATTCGTTAACCTTCCAACGAGAGAAGAGAAAAAAGAGAGAAGAACCTCCAGAAAGAGCCTACGAGATAAAGTTAATGAAAGAGAACTGAAATCACAGCATGATACAAATTTTGCAATATTTTCGAAATTTTGTGGGTCCCAATGTATTAGAACTAGTTATTCACTATTTTCTAATCCAAAAATGTGGACTTCCTCATCGGAAGATTGGACTTTGGATAGGCAAAGGACGAGCGTGAGGAAACGATTGTTCATCTAGATACATCACCATTTATTACATCGTTCATTGTGCTGAACGATGGCATCAAGAGAGGGATTTCCCCCATTTAACAATGTTCTCAATGTGTCTCAAAAATACTCATACTTCGTTCGGGCTGGGAATCACCAAGTCTAAAGTTCGCTCTTCGGATTCGGGCGCAACTAATACCTGCCGAAAGATGTTATGCGTCCGAAGTCAAATTCAATCAAAATTTATCTGTGAATGGATATCTTTCTATTTATTCTATTATATGCTTCGATATTATAGTAATCGATTTACAGATCTGACAAAATCATGCATTGGAAGCGTGCATCTATTACGGAACAACAGAAACATGAATGGGATTTGCGACGCGACGAATAGCCTTTAAAAACTATTTTCATGGACAAAAATTGCTCTTTCTTTAGTTCTGGAACATAGGCTCATAATCTTCTTCACCTTAAAATTAGTACAAGTTAAATTCGCGGATCGCAATTTACTGTTTCACGGAGTGAACTCGGCTCTCACAGCGCAGAATCAACCCTTCAGCGGAGATACCTTCTTTCTTACGGAGCGGATTTCGTTTCTTATTTATACCAGTTGAGTTTTTTGGGGGCAAAATAGGCTCCTGAGTGACCTCGGATAATACACTCAAGATATCTATCATTGTACTTGCAACTTGCATAATCGATATACACACTTTTCAAAATGAAATTCTGTGCTGGAGACTATATAACGCCCAAAAGACCCCGAGTTGTATGAATGCGGAGCGTAATCTATTCTCCTTACGGAGTGACTTATTACATTACTGAATCTTTTCTTTTTACGGATTGCCATTCGCTATTATGGTGCTAATTTCACTTCGTATTCATGTCACTCAGGGTTTTTGGGCGGTATATAGACTCCAATACCGAAGTGCACCTCTCGATTCTTAACAGTGTATGTGCTTGCCACCTGATCTATATGGTCGGAGTTTTCGCCCAGTATTTATAAACGTACGCTCAGTAAAATGGGTTAAAAAAAAAAAAAAAAAAAAAAAAAAAAAAAAAAAAAAATTATATTTTGTACGCAGATCTATCTTTTTTAATAACAGAAAGTAATTTTTACAATGAAGTTCCTTTCCTCTGTCGACTTTGTTTCTTTTGCATAATGGTAGCGCAAATTTCTAGGTTCAGTAAGATCAACATGGTATTCTTCTTTTTCACAGAAGAACACTTCTTCGATGTCTATGCAGTTTTAAGCCTAATTTTAACGCTTCCGAGTACATTCTAACTATTATTCTCAACTTCCGTCGTGAGTTGATAAGTTTATCGGAATTTTCGATACGTTGATGAAATTGTTGAGGGAGATGATTACACGGTATGTGATAATGAGACGCATTCTGGTCTTAATCCCAGAATAAGTGTGCTTTCACATGTTTCATGACCTTGATTCACTGATTTTATCGCACACAGAAGTTTCCCGCAAATAAGTACATTATTGAGCTAGTTAGAGACGTGAATTTTAGGAGGAAACGAATACAATTTTCACCGTCGCGTAAGTAACGGCAAATGGATGATCGGTTATGAATGAGTAAGGGAAGAGGGGATTAGAAGGTAGGAACGTATTGAAGTTATTATTTTTGAAACTTTAATATATATTTTTGAAATTTTATATTTTTTAAAATTTTATTATCATTGAAGATCTTGTAAAATCATTTCCATGGATGCAAATCACGCTAATTATTAGAAATAGTCAAATCGTTATTTCTGTAATTAATGGGACTAAAATATTACAGGGTGATTCAAAATTCCTGCACCACGCATGTGTAACCCACACTTCTTGCTCCTTTTCACGAGGGTCTTTAAAATGTTGAAGGTTCCCAAAAGTTGCTCTCTTAGACCTAGGAGCATAGACTCACAAAATTTCAAGTCCTTATCTCAATTTGTACAAAATTTCCAGGGGTGATATCCGGTGCACGCAGTGCGGAACTTTTGAATCACCCTGTGTGAGACAGTATGATTTTCTAACACAAGACCTCAACAGGACTGTCTCTCTGGATTTTTTGGCGGAAGAGAATTAGTCGTATTTAAGTCGCTCAAATCACTAATTTGATAAATAAAATAGAAATAGAATTGACATTAAGAGAGAAAAGATTATGGTATTGAACTAGTAAAATGACTAGTTTCAGGTTAGACCCATTTAGTCGCGGGACGGATACGAAAGTGCGGTCGCGAACATCCCCTCTCTTGCTAACCTGCCTGGTTTCAAACGGGCCACTTGTTGCATCATGCATTGATGCACCGATGATACCACGCACACGTTGGGGTTACCTATACATCGATAGCCAAAGTTCAAAGAAAGAGGGTTGGTATCTCGATTTCAACATTTCGAAATCTCCGATCGTATTTTATCTTTTAAAAGGAAAATTAACCAAAAGATATGAAACATACTTCCGTGAATATTTTTTGATGAATAAAGAAAAAATGTGCAGAATATTTTGAGAGCTATTTGTGGTCAGTTTTTCACTACAAAAAGAACCAATGAGCAGAGGTTTGCAACTTCGAGCGTTTTCCAACTTTAGCCGCCAATAATTTACTTACTGGTGCGTAGAATTGGACGAATAGCTACAAGACAAACTGCATTTTCCGATGCAAAAGTGCATCCCTCATTTTTGATATTTCTTCTACAGATCAATTTGATTGTTCGAAAGTATTGCAGAATACTACATTAAATAAAAACAAAGATCGCGAGGGCTCCAAGTGAATGCGTGGGTTAATTTTTCGTTTAAAATATGAAATATACCTAGTTGACAGTTTCCTAAGTTTGAGTTATTGAACTATTAAAGTTTGCATGTTTTACTAATCAATAGGAGAAAAGACCAAGAGCTAATTAGTGCTTTAGCTCATTCTATGCATACGCTAAATACGTAGAAATGTGAGAAACATAAAACAAGTAACCGGTGAAAGCTCCTGTGCAGTATCTGAAAAGCAAGGAGAATCGACGCTCCGTTTTTAGAGTGTAAGAACAAACGTCTAAAATTTTACGATTATTTTCTAAATTCATCATTAACTCTTTCTTGACGCACCGCAAAGCGAAGTAAAACTGGTAGAATGGAGTTCGTCTCACTCTTGGCGAGAGGTGAATGCAAATTCATATTAAAAAAAGAAGAAAATGGAGATAGATAGAGGAAAAAAAACCCAAAAATTGTCTTTACCTTTCCAATGCGAATAAGAGTCATTTGAGGAAAGCATAATTCATAAGCATCTATAGGTACATACAGTAAGGAGTAGGTACCACAAGCGGAAAAGTTAAGTGGTGATTTTTTTACTTTGAAAGTTTTTGCCGAGAGGCGAAAAATTTACATTGACGGTTGCGATGCTTTGACTTTGACTCAGAATATTGAAGCAATAAAATGAGACTTAAAATTCAACTCTATATTCGCAAAGTATATGGCGAGACTAATTTTTTGAGAAATGGACGTATTTTATCAAATAGCAATCAAGTCACATCAAAATCGAACCGAGAAAAAGAAGCCCGGCGTTGTATTCCTCCATCAGACGCAATGCTATTGACTTTAACGCTTATTTTCACATTCAAAAGATATTTATCCTCGATTTTTAATTTTTGACGGGAGAAAATGCGCGAAAATTTAAGCATGTTTCAAACTTATTTTCTCCCTTAATTTGCCTTGGTTCGTTTGCTATTAGTTCTATCCCATGTTTTACAATCGAAAGTATCTCGATTTGATTTTAAAGCAAATTTCCACCAACTCTCGCATCCGTAATTTCCTTAAGTCAATCCACCAACGCCAATCGTGGAAAAGAAGTGTATGAAGAATAAGTGTAGAAAAAAGCTTACCCGAACTTGGTTTTCCGGAGAAATGAAACCGACGCGAAAAGCGAAGCCAGAGGAACGAAAGCACCACGCACTGTCAACTCATAAAAATCACTGAGAAACCACCGTCTAGGATGAAAGATTAGGTTCGCGGTTGATCAGAACGAAACCATGGTGAAGTGGTTAATGTCGGAGGGTTTAAATTTAAAGAAGCGGCAAAATTTCGGGACGCGCGTGGGTAGAGAAGCCCCAAACGGCGGCGGAGGAGCTGGGCGTGCAAACAAAACAAACCACTGATTGATGCGAACTGATGGCTGGAACGATGCAAGCGGCCCAAGACGCGTCCACCGCGCACCGTCCGTCAGGTTGCATGCACTGTTGCCGATACAGTTGCTCATAGGAGTGGATATAATAGATTGCCGAGTTACCGAAGAAAGCAGTAACTGCGGAAATTAACCTCTCGGAAAATGGACTTCGTAGCGGGGAGCGGAAAATGTTATCGAATGAAATCTCGGTTCTTCGTAAAGGCGTGGGTAGCCATAGATCAACTGCGTTTTCTGATTATGAATTGGATTACATTTTGCAATAGGGAACCACTATCTCTGGCTCTCCCATAAAAGCACATATCTGCATAGGAAGACCAATGGCATGTATGTTGTTTCTAAAATGGGCCAGAAATAGTGGTTCCTTATTGCAAAATGTAATCCAATATAGAGGAAGCAGGGCGTCATGGAGGGGAACGGGCAGACGGGGCTCCTCTGGGCGATTTTTTTAAATCCTAGATTCTCTAAGGGTCTCTGGAGTCTAAAAGACAAATTTAAGGAGGCTCTTGGGGGCCCATGGGACCTTTAAATTTTAAAATTTAGGACCCTAAATGACGAAACCTCCGAGCGCTAATTCGGCCTTAAGGGGAAGGCAGGTCACGAACGTTACTATTTCGCCTTCAGTTTTTGAGGTAGGCCAGAAGACATTCTCTCGGCGACGGGTATGTTTTGCTTATCTCGAATACTTATTTATGTATCACTATGAAGTTTATTCTCGTATCCAAAATATATTTTTCTCTCGACTAAGAATTTTTGATGAGAGAGAATATGCCTAATTAATCTCATAACTACTCCCCCTTTATTTTTCCTCAAATAAGACTTTGTTTCCTCGTATGGCTTCGTTTCCAATAATAGCTGATTGGAGCTGATATCAATGAGACTGTTGATTAGGTACTCCACTCATTTGAGTACCAATTTTGGTGCACACGGTTTTAGTCGGATTTATTTGCGCCAAGTTGAACTCTGTACAAGTGAATTACATTAAAACGAACCGTGTGCGTAAAGGTTTTGCGTACTTTATAGTTCCTTTTAAATTTACGTTCTATCGAGAAGAAAGGGTTTTGATAGTGGTCGAATCTAGGTTCACCCTGAATTTCCTCAACTCTACGATTTTTTGTTCATTGAAGGTCTGCATTTTACAGAATAAACCATGAAGGTCTCTTTTCGGGTCTACTACTGGCCTGTACATGGGTTTAAAGGCCGATTTTGGCGGAAAATTCGTGTTTGGCGCGCGTGCTTGCCTTTGTCGTCGAATGTCAAAAAATCAGCAAGTTCGCCAAAATCGGCCTATCATGTTTAGGCCAGTTCTGAATCTGAAAAGCAGCCGAAAATGACCAAGTCATGATGAACACAGTAAGATCTATAGACCTTTCATGATAAAAACATCGTAGAGTTGTGGAAATTCAGCTAGGGTAGGCCAAAAAACAACCCTCATTGATACCTCCTCTTTCGCAACATCCAATGATTATAGGGCGTTTTCCCTATCACGATTTTAAAACTCTTCGAAGTTTTAAAAAGTGATGAGAGAGTACTCAATTCTCTTGTACACCCACTCTGCTCTCCCACCGAGAGAAAATAACAGACACACTGCAAAATAGTTGACCATTTGACCGAGTTGACTTATACTTGAGAGCATCAGACATCTGTGTGCTGGCATGTGGACGCATAATCTATGTTTAAGCCTTAAACCGGTTAAACGAATGATTTTTTTTCTTCATTTACTCAACCGCTAGTACGCACACATAGATTATCACACTTACAGAGTTTTTTTTTCAACACGTTTCTCAATTTTTGCTGCTATAGACACCGGATGACCTCTTTTCCCCAAAAATAAAAGTTTTCATAAAAAATACGCTGCTTTTAATGAAATTCATAGAACAAATGTTTTAAAAAAGTGACGTATCAGTGATTTTAACAGAGCTTGTACCGAAGTAAACCTCGTAGAATAATTGACCTAAAAACAAAATTTTAAGCATCGCATCAGTTTAATCGTTCGATGAACCACAGGAATCGCCTCATCATGTAAATATTAAATTACCTATCTCGAAATCAGGAATTTGTATCACGCTGTTTGGCAATTCGACAATTGAACCAGTGAGAACGAGAACACGCCAACTCGGAAGAATGAAAATTATCAAGACACACACAAAACTGCTCAGTAGGTGAAGAAGTTAGTTTAAGAAAAATTTGTTTGCTGCCGAAAGACAAGTACTTATGGACACTTTAAATGTCCAAGTTGGAACAGATGCGCTAACTGCAATGACCTTTAAGTACATTAACTGACTTTAATGGAAATTGAGCGTTTTCGAGTTACCGAGTTGGTGTGTTTTCGTTCTCACTGATTCAATCGACTACTCGCTTTTTTAGATCAAGAGCTTTAGTTTATTTTTAATTAATTACCTATCAAATGACCTAATTTAATTCATTACTATTTACATGGTTTAAAGTAACTAGTAAACTAATATTTTATTGATTATTCAATGACACTTTTCATACGTAATGGTTAAACTATAATCAATCGTACCAAAAGTTCGAAATCCGAGCAAAAAGTAGGAACCTGGGTATTCGGAACCATTCAATCACCGATGTCTTCAATTTGAATCTCTTCCGCTAGATAATAAAAAAAAATCGATAGATCGAAGATTCGCAACGGAGCCGCGAGATCCGCCGACGAGATTACCACGCTCGTGGGAGAAATCGCGGAGGATTCCGGTAGCGGAAATCGGGCTTCGCGTCGGACCGCGATCCCGCGGCGGCCAAATGTAGCAACACCGGTTGCAGCGCGCCGCCCGTGCAGGGGCGGGGAAGCGAGGGAGATGCATCTCGCTACTAGGGAAACCGGCGCGGCGCGGTGCGGTGCGGCGTCGGGGGGACTGCAAAACGGCAAGTCCCCACAGAAAGACGGGGCCCCGGCCCCCGGCCGGGGGGGGGGGGCTCGGTGGGCCGGTGGGCCCCAGCGACGGAACAAGTAGTCGCAGAGTCGCACTCCACCGCACCGCGCTGCACACCGCCAATTTTGATACGTAACATTTGTAAAATTGCTCGTGGCTCGGCGGGGGACGTTGCCACGTGAGCGCCCGGGCCCCTGCTAGCCGTGACAGGTAAGAGGTAGTCGCAAGACGGCACTGGCTCCGGAGAGGGGAGCTAGGTGTCTAAGCGCCCCGGGTGCACGGGCACACGGGTGCCGCTGACCCGGTGGAGGGGGCACCAGCAGAGACAGAATCATCGTCATCAAGCAAAAGTGATCTATCTACATCCGTGGATTCAAAGAAGACCGTATGTTTGCACGCTTTGGTGCTTCAGAATACGTGTGCTTCTACAAGAGCGAATTTCATTTTGAGAGTAGGAACCACTTTTGTGTCTGTACCTCGTAGGCATTGGCGGAGATAGGGGGTCAGGGCGCCAGAGGACCGACCCTGGAAATGTGAAGGGGAGAAATGTGAAGGGGAGAAATGTGAGAATTTTTTCTAAATAAGTTAATATTTCGGAGTTGAAGTGTGTCAAGGCTCAAGTGTGCGTTTCGTCTCGGAAATTGGAATTGGACCAATTTTTCGATGAGAACAGATCAAAATTGCTCCTGAAACAACTCTATTTCTACACAATTTTCATTAAAGAATTCTCCTAGCTTTACGAGATGGTTCGGAAACCCCCTACCCTTCGTGTAAAGCTAGGGGAACTCCCCGAACTCTCCTTTGAAGCTAGGAGAGTCCCGCAGACTCCAATTAGTTGAGTGTTTTTTGTACCCCCAGACCCCTCTTGGTTATCCACCTGCCTCCCCCACGAAAAGTTCCTGTTTACGCGCATGCTCGCATGCTGCCATTTTATTCGAGTCCGGAACTTCCGATTTGGTGACTGGCGATTCGCAACATCGGTGCGTGATTTTGGCACCACCTCGCGAGGTGATCCTAAAAAAGGCTCGATCCGTCTGATCGATCGTGGTCTGATTTGACGAATCTGTTGGCAAGGGTGCTGATAAGTGCCATGAGTGCTAATGATTAGTAAGACACAACCCGGAGAAACTTCCCGAGGAGGTTCGAAACTTTAAGCAAAATTCGCTTAACGTTGGCATCGATCGCTATGCCGTGAGTGCATGGATGTTGCTGTCCCAATGCGACGGGAGCAAACACCGGCAAAGCAGCGCTATTTATCGTCTCGCGGATAAAAGAAGCCCGAGCGCCTTCAATTAATGCTACGCAACCCGCACATCCATAGAGTACGAATAGTTGTATCCAAGCGTTAAAGAATGCATACAGGAACCCAGATTTCAACTACAAACTCGAGGTTCCTTTTAAATTGATCTTTATTTCATCTTTTGATGTAGGGTTTCCGAGGCGTTCATACGTCACCAAGCAGAGGTAACTCGTCTATACTACGAGTTTTTCAAAAAGCGCGTGTATTTCACGAAAAGCTGCACTCTGGATGTATACCTACAAGTCGCTTCAGATCACTCATTTTGTACATGGACTACTTTGCTGAGTGATAATCAGAGACATAAATTCTCACATAGATTCCTTCCGCTGAAGTCAATCCTAAAGTGTCTATTGACCTCTGATACGGGGTGCTTGGCATATTTCAATTCTTCCGCGAAAGGTGCTATCTCGCTTTTTCCAAGACCTTGCGCCAATATTGTGGCAATAAGAGCAGGAGTCAAATGTGGTGTCCAAAGTCCAATCCTCTGATTCGAATGCCGCGCTTGATAGGGTTGATTCCTTGATTTCTCTTGGAAATGTCGCTTCATCTCTGAGATCCAGGGATGTGAAGTTTTATAGTAATTCAACTTTTTGTGGCATATCACAGATTTTCGCAACTTTTCAAGTGATAAATGGAATTCACGTTAAAGTGTTGGTGCTAAATAAGCTCAAGAGTCGATTTTACGTCCTGGAGTCCTGGTAAAAATTGGCAGTACAATCTGTGTTCCAAAATACCATAGACCTACGGCCGGCTGTAAGATTTCCAATAGCTTCTATAGCCGGCTACAAAATTTCTTATAGCCTTTTATAGCCGATGGTGATTAAGCAACTCACAGCCAGGCGTTATAGTGTATGCTAAACGTAACTAATTACGGATGC